AGACGGAGACGGAGATGAGAGATGGAGACGGAGACGGAGATGAGAGATGGAGATGGAGATGAGAGATGGAGATGGAGACGGAGACGGAGATGAGAGACGGAGACGGAGACGGAGACGGAGACGGAGACGGAGATGAGAGATGGAGACGGAGACGGAGACGGAGACGGAGACGGAGACGGAGATGAGAGATGGAGACGGAGACGGAGACGGAGACGGAGACGGAGATGAGAGAAGGAGACGGAGACGGAGACGGAGACAGAGATGAGAGATGGAGACGGAGACGGAGACGGAGATGGAGATGGAGATGGAGATGAGAGATGGAGACGGAGACGGAGATGGAGATGAGAGATGGACACAGACATGAGAGATGGAGATGAAAATGGAGATGAGAGGAGAGACAGAAAAGTGGGAAGATGGGAAAGGGAAAAGGAGAGAGAGAGATAATGGAGCCAGACATAGAGATGAGAGGGAGACAGAGACTGAGAAAGAGAAGGAGAAAAAAAGGAGCGGAGCAGGGAGGAAGGCGAGGGAGGTGAAAGAAGCAGAAGGGGCTGAGGGGAGCATGGCGGGGCGGGGAAGGAGAAAGGATCTCAAGGACTGCCGAGAAGCCGTTCTGATGGCCGGGCGAGTGTGGGCAGGGACACCCACGACACATTCCCAGCAAGAGTGGCAGCAAGGCCAGGGTCAGGGTCTGGAGCGCGCCACTGGGAATGACAAAGACAGAGGCCATGAGGCCCACTGAGGCATCCAGTGAGGGAGGGCGGCAGCAGCAGGGTCCTCGCCACGCTGATTTTGATGGCCCTGGCTCCTGCCCTTGTTTCTGTTTCCTGAGCTACTTCTCTAGCCTCTCTAGGGATTCTGGGAGCTGCCCACTGTCTTTTTGGTTCATTCTTTTTCTGTTTTGATCAATCTGATAGCTTCTGTTGCTTACAACTAAGAATTTTGCCTATTTCGAACATGCAAGAGGCTGAGCCCTTTTTAATCCTCCCAGCAAATCTGAGAGGTAGATTTATATTATCATCTCCACCTTCCCAATGTGGAAACTAAGAGATAAAGAGCTTAAGTCATTTGCCCACTGTCACAAAGCTAGTAGATAACACAAGCCAAACTCAAGCCCAGGCCTCCTTGCCTCCAAAGCACTTAACCACTGCATTCTACTGTCCTTTACTTAAACAAGCTCCATGGTTACTATGTCCACATGCCCTCTACACCATCCCTTTCTTGAAGAGAGAGCTGAGCGGCGCACATCCATCGCTCCCACACCTACCACTCACCTTCTTTTCTCTTGGAATACTAGGGATTTAAAAAACTATTAGGGGGCACCTGGGTGGCTCAGTTGGTTAAGCATCCGACTCTTGATTTTGGCTCAGATCATGATCTTAGGGTTGTGGGATTAAGCCCCACGTCAGGGTCTCTGCTCATCGTGGAGTCTGCTTCTATCCCTCTCTCTCGCCCTCTGCCCCTCCCCCTGCTCAGGTGTACCTGTGTGAGTGTTCTCTTTCTCTCTCTCTCTCAAATAAATTTCAATCTTTAAAAAAAAAAAAAAAACTTTCAGAGAATCTCATTCTGCTCTCCCTCCACCATGGTTTGTATGGGGTTTGGGTTCCCACTGCACCCACTGTGATCTACTTGGTCTTACACACATCAGTGATCCCAAGTCTTCAAAGAAATATAAAGTAGCTGCACTTCAAATAACAACGCCAATTATACTAGAGATATATATCATAAATACTCATTTATAATTCTAGTTAACTAGCAAAACTTAACTTTCATGTACCTCTGAGACTTCATATCTCTTTTTCCAGTTTTGTACCGATACTTAAAGGAATCCCAGCAGCTCATATGTTGTGTGAATGGCCAGGCAACTTTTCAAAATGGCCCAAACACTTGTTGCTGAGACAACATTGCAGAATACATTAAACCTGAGTGAAACCTCAAATGGCCATTCCTTAGTGTGGCTGCTTGAGGTCCGTTTCTCAGTGCTAGTGAATCCAAGTCTGGAAGAGAGAATAATCATTCTTTTCACAAACCTTTACTAAGCACCCACTATGTGTCAGACACTGAACCAGGTGCTGAAGTTATAGTGGTTATGGTGATTTTAAAATATGACTGCAAATTCTTTTACAATTATTTCTTCAAATGATAGAGCTAACCCTTCTTCCCTTGAGTGTGAGACTCAGTGACTTGTTTTTACCAAAAAAAAAAATGTGTCAAAAGTGACACTATGACTTCTTAGACTAGGTCATAAAAGGCAATGTGGCTTCTTCCTTGATCTCACTTGGATCACTCACTCTGCGGAAAACCAGCTGCCATGTCATGAGGACGCTCAAGCAACCCTATGCAAAGGTCCATGTGATGAAGAACTGAGCCCTTCCACCAACAACCATGTGAGGGAGCCATCTTGGAAGGGGATCATCCAGCTTCAATCAAGCCTTCAGATGACTGCAACCCCAGCAACATTTTGATTGCAACTTCATGCAAGACCCCAAGCCATGGCCACCTGGTCAAGCTTCTCCCAAATTTCTGGCCCACAGAAAGTGTGAGATAATAAATATCTATTGTTGCTTTAAGCCAGCAAGTGTTGGGGTAATTTGTTACATAGCAATAGATACTATGGTAGATAAGACAGCCATGGTTCCTTCTCTCATTCTGGGAGCGGGTAACAATCTATTGTTGCACAAATGTAGAAACAGTGTGAGTAAAATCACGCCAACCAATATGAACAAATGCTATGTTGTTCCATCAACACGAAATGTGAAAAGGAGATTTGTTATATTATTATATTGACTGTGACCAGGATTTCAATTTGGAGTCTGCTTTGTCACCCAAAGGTAGAGCATGTCTTCATGCCATGATCATTGTAGAGACGATGGCAAATGATGGTGGGCTCTGGGGTATAAGATCTAGTGAGTTCGGGTCAGAGCAAATGTCATGGCACCCCAACCCCCATTCAAATCTTGGTAAAGCGAGAGCAGAAGCAAAGA